TCAAATCCAGGCAAGCCAGGGGCTGCATCTGGCCCCCAGCCCTGAGGTTTTTCACCCTTGCTCTAAAAGTTCTGGTGCAGAATTGTTCTTCTCTCATTTATATTGGGAAAATTGTGTGGGGTTTTTTTTTGTTTTGTTTTTTGAGGTAAAAGTGTTGGGACTCAATTACCCAATGCCTGGTGTGACTCTTTAAAATCGTATCAAATCCAGGCAAGCCAGGGGCTGCATCTGGCCCCCAGCCCTGAGGTTTTTCACCCTTGCTCTAAAAGTTCTGGTGCAGAATTGTTCTTCTCTCATTTATATTGGGAAAATTGTGTGGGGTTTTTTTTTGTTTTGTTTTTTGAGGTAAAAGTGTTGGGACTCAATTACCCAATGCCTGGTGTGACTCTTTAAAATCGTATAGAAATCCAGTTAATTAAAAAGAGAAATCCTTTTCAAAGTTTGAGGTCTAAACATTGCCACGGAAGTCTCTTAACTGGTACTGAAAATGAAACTGACCAGTATGTACTCAGCTTTACTTGCCACCATTTGTTTTCACAAGCCAAATCAACAATCTCTACAACAGTGGTCTCCAACCTTTTTAAGCATGAGACCATTTTTTGAATTTAAATGCAATCCAAGATCTATCTGAAACCCAAATACCCTTGCCCTGCCTCCTTTGTGACCCTTCTCTGAGGCCCCACCCCTGCTCACTCCATCCTCCTTCCCTCCCCCACCCTCACTCATTTTCACCAGTCTGGAGCAGAGGGTTGGGGTGCAGGCTCTGGTCTTAGATTAAGGGATCTAGAGAGGCTCTGAACTGAGCCTGAGTCAGGCAGTAGGGGGGCCAGAGGAAGTTTGGATGTGGGGTGCTCAGGGCTAGGGCAGGATCTTGGGATGCAGGAGGGGGGTTCATGACTGGGGCAAGGTTTCAGGATGTGGGCACCAGTTGGGCATTGCTTACCTCAGGTGGTTCCTGGATAATGGTGCAGTGGGGCTAAGGCAGGCTCACCCCTGTCCTGGACCTGCACCACTCCCAAAAACAGACAGCAAACTCCATCACAAGTCCTGTTGTGCCCCCTCTCTGCTCTGTAGCTCCTGAGGGGACAACTCCAAGGCAAAGGGCAGGAAATGCTCAGCAGTCTGCGAGGGGCAGCTGAAGTGCTGGGCTTGATAACCTCTTGGCCAAACCAGTCAGGATCACCTGTCAGAGGCTCCAAGATCTACCAATAGATCCTGATCTACTGGTTGGTGACCACTGCTCTACAATGTTGAGTTGTGTGTGTCTATTTCCCCCCCGCCCTCCCCCCGCTCCCCGCATCTAACACTGCCTTTCTAAATGAGAGGAAATGGTGAAGAGTGAAGCATTGGATTTAAATTCTTGGGAGCCTATTGAATGTATTTTATTGGGGTGGATTCTCACTTATTTTGTAATTCAAAAATAACCAAATCTGTCATCTGTCAGGCATATGTAGCTAACTCCCTTTTTCCCCCTAATCTTTATTTATAGTTTGTGGACAAAACTCTATTTGAAACATTGGGTTCTTCATTACTCACTCCGCCACAAATAACTCAGAGTAGCAAGTGCTTATGCAAAACTTGAACATCCTCATGGTACATACAGGCTAGGGCAAGGATGGGCAATAATTTTTGCCCGAGGGCCTCTTCAAAAATTTTTGAAGTAGCCCCAGGGCACTCCAGAAGGGGTGGAACCTAAACAGGAAGGGGTGGGACTACCCCATCCCCAGACCATGATTGGTCTGGGGGTGAGAGAATCCCTTTGCCCCCTCCCCCCCACTAAGCACCCATGCCCTGGAAGAGGCTTGGCATGCTCCCTCAGCCTAGGCCAATTAGGGCATGGGGTGGGGGAACGCGGGAAGCTTCCTCCCACTGTCCGAGGACCCCTTGGCACTTTGAAGTGCCAAGGGATCCTTGCAGAGCCAGGGCAGGGCAAAGGAAGCTTCATGCAGCTCCTCAGGCCCTGATTGGCCTGGGGGCGAAGAAGCGTGTGACGCCTCCTCTGCTCTCCCCCCGCCCTGCGAGCAGCATGGGCCACTTCTGGCAGGGTGGGAGGAGGCTTTGCATGCTTCCCCACCCTCAGGCCCTGATTGACCTGGGGGCAGGGGAGCACACAAAGCCTTCTTGGCTCTGCCCCCACCACGTGCTGCTCACAGGGCTGGGGCAGATTAGAGAAAGCTTCTGGCACTCCCATGGCCCTAATTGGCCTTGGGGGCGGGAGACCAGCAAGGCCCACAGAGGTCCTTTTGCCCATCTCCGGGCTAGGGAGTGTGGTTAGGGGGCAGCGGCTTGCACATGTATTCTCTGACAAATGTATTTCAAGTCCGAAGTATTAAAACACTAGTCTTCTAGTCAGACAAAGTGCATTTTAAAAACCTATGGCATGGACCCTGGGATCAGTCTTCTGTCACTAAAAGTATATGGATTCTGTTTTGGTAGTGGTCTTGGTACTTAATGATGGGCTGTTTCTGTCTTCAGAATTCAAGGAAGCCTTCTCCCTATTTGACAAAGATGGTGATGGTACCATCACAACAAAAGAACTTGGGACGGTCATGAGGTCATTGGGTCAAAACCCAACAGAAGCAGAATTGCAGGATATGATCAACGAGGTAGATGCTGATGGTAAGTGTGGGGAAGATGCAGTTGGTAGTGTTTCACTCATGGTGAGCACATACTATAAGCTTGGGTTTGATCTGGGTGATGGAGACTCTAAAATTGCCCCTTTTCATAACAATCAGTTTAAAATTTGTCAAACAGTATAGATTAACTTTTCTAAAGTTAAACAGTCATTCCCATTACATACTTACTAATATACAGGCAGTCCCCGAGTTACGCGGATCCGACTTATGTTGGATCCGCAGTTACGAACGGGGATTTTCTCCCCCCGGAGGACTGGAGCGGCGGGACACCTGGTCC